TCTTCAAATTATAGCCTTCTGGAAGTCGTCAGATTGTAACTTCCATCACCAGTGTTTGATGGAGAATCAACTATCTTTTATTATTATTATTATTATTTTAGACAGCCTACAGAACCCCCTCCAAAGTTTTCGAAAGTTCGCGGTTGACTGTGACGAATTTTCGAAATACTTTGGAACCCAAAAATTTTCATTGATCAAATGTACCTTATCGCAGATTGAGCAGAGCACCTTCGTTGACCTTCTCGTTCTTTTCTGGTTCATCAATAATGTCTTGGCTTTGACTTGTTTGACTAAGTTCGCCGTCTTCAGGAAAACTAGGCATTTCTTGATTATAGATGGAGAGAACCATAAGCCTGTATCAGAAGAACTTTATCCCCAGTTTAGTCAGGAGAACGACTTCTGAGTGATTCACTTTGTCTTCTTTCTTGATCAGCTCATCTGGGGTCATTGCTTGGAATATTAACCCCTTTGAAAGGGTTAGTTACGTGATAGGCTGAGATTGGTCATCAAAACGCATGTCTAAATTATGCGTTCTGCTGTTTGAACATGAGGGTGCGTTCGGAATTTAAAACCTCCCTTCTTTTTGAAAACGCGAGAATCACGTTTCGGGTGGGATTTGCCTAAAATCCCGCTTCGATTTGACAGTTACAGCTGTGTATAAATGGGCCACTGAGGTCAAATCAGAAAGTCATTCGACTTTTTCCCCTTTCTATTTGATTTCTTAACATGGCTCCTGTTCATCTTCTCCAGTACTTTAACGGAGGAAAAGATCTGTTCCTAAATACTTCGCCCATCTTCGTCTTTCTCGCCACGGTTAGAATGGGCCTCAAGAAAAAGACTACTTCTAAACCGAAGTTTGCCGAAGCTCAGGGTGCTTCTTCGGCTAGAACCTCTGGTGATGATCAAATCCCCACGCCTTTGTCACCGGTTTCTTCAGCTAATGGTAAGGTTGAACCATTGGAGGTTGATTCAACAGATCTCTCGGAGCCTCTTTCCTTCAACCACTACTTCGGTCATGCGGGAGGTGCGGAGAAAAATACAGCCTTCAGCTTTGCCTTCGAGTATCTAGTGTTTCAGAATGCCTATAAAGAACGATCGAAGCTCATCACTCAAGCCTTCCCCGAGATTCTTAGATCCTTGGTCACGGATGCTAAATTTGAGACCGCTGAACGTGAAGTTTTAAAGAAGCCGTCTTTCCTCTTCGGGGATTCTGTTAAGATGGACCCCAAGCGGGTGTCGGAAGGGAACTACAAATGGCTGAGGACCGTCAATAATCGTCGCCTTTTCCTTCCAAATCTGGAGCGGATGTGGCCATTTTCTTATTATCAGTGCGCCTCTATCCCGCGGTCGATGAATTGGGAACTCGTTCAGGACCAAGGAGGTGTCGCCACAGGGCATATCACTCATCGGGGCACGCACCTGGCCGGTTTCAATAATTTTATGGCTTTGAAGCCAGGTTTATTCCAAAAAGAGCATCCTGTCGGAGAGCCTGCTAAATTGGTGGAGGTGTTCATTAGAACATTTATTTCTGTCAAAGGAGAGTTCCCTGCTCGGGATTTCAGGGCCCCTACTTGGGTTCATTCCAGTGATACGGACTGGTGGGCCCGAATGATAAATTTTGTTTTGGAGGAACTAGAAGAACCTTTGAGGATTTCGGGGTTAAAGGTTCCAATAGTGGCTACCCGATATGGAATTTCTCCAAATTACAGCGGACTCTTCGCTATGTTGGAGTTTTACAACCCTCATACCGGCACTTTTTTCACCCCAGTTGGTGAATTGGGCTTCGCTCTTCATGAGATGTTCAAGATTTCTGGATTATCCTTTGGTGAGCTGCCGTATGAAGAGTTTGTTCCCGGCAATAGGGAATTAGAGATCCTGAAAAATAGTGCTCCCGAAATCTACAATACTTACTGGGAATTGATGTGCCATTTCCAGATATGTGCGCAAACTACTGGCAAAAGAGCAAGCGGTGTAAAACAAGGACAATGGACGGAGTATCTTTTCCGAAACTTGTGGGACAAGGAGGCTGAGGTGACTCGTTTAGTCGCCAGTACTCTCGAGGAGATCACAGAACGCATCAACGACACCACCTCTCATTATACTTGCGAGGTAGAGGAGGATGTCTTCCCAACCTTCACCACATTCGAAAGCTTCCACTATCAGGCAGAAGTCCCTATCTCTGACATGGCTTTGTTCGCTGGCTTTCTGACCCTTTGGTTGAAGCGTTGCGTGGTACCCACAAGACCGATGACGCTATTGCAGTAGAAGTCTTATATCCTGCCGTTCTTTTGGCTTATGGACGACCTTTGAACCTTCTTTCAGCCATGGTGTGCTGCTTACAAAGTGGCTTGCGGGAATTATCTTCCGAGTTTATTGCTGTCAAGAAAGTGGACTCCGATGGGAAGACTATCATTCAGACCCCAAATCCCCGGGTGCCGATGCCGTACATTTATTTGATATCTTGGTTTGTGTTGCACTGTCCTCCGATAATGACAACCCCCGAATCAAGTGGCGCTTCAACTCCTCTTGTTCAGCAATTAGAAACCTCTGAATGGGCTGGTTGGTATCAAGTTAAATTCCGTGAAATATTGAGACGGGATTATAATTATGAGATTGCTTGCAAGTTTCCCGCCTTCGAGGGTGGCGCGTATGGAGAACTTCATCATCAAGACACTCCGGGACCGAATTCTTTCACCAAGCTTAGCAGGGGTGCCTTTTGGTGGCTCATAAACATTCGTCCGTGCTATCTTATTTTTCGCCAAGGGAGGAAATGCTTTATTGAACTATATCAGCCTTATCGCTTCTCTCGGCAATTTGGTTATGATCAGCTCTATGTTGGGAACCCAAACCCTACTCTTGCATACACAGGTAATGTGTACGAAGGAGCAAGAGCTTGGTACTACTCAGTGGCTGGTTGTACCGGAGCAAAATTCCAACTTCCCCATAAGATGCCCAATACTCGTACCTCTTTGAGCTTCTGTACCTGGTACCAGGCCGCTTCTCAGATTTCAGCCTACAATATGAACACCTCTTGTTTGAAGGCCATCCGCAAATGGTATGCTTCAAAAAGAGATGCTAAAAGGTTCCGTGCCCGGGGTGCCAACGAATATTTGTCATATGAGAAGTCAATTACGGAGGGCGAACGGCAACAGTCACCGGAGTGAGCTCAGGAAGAGGTAAGGGTGCCGGATACTCACACGGTGGAACCCTCAAGAGTTCTGACTCAGAGTAAGAGCGCTCTTGGAAAAAAGAGCGCTAGGGCCGGTTGACGAAGCCAAGTATGACAAAAGAGCTCGTCGGAAGTTAGCACTCGAACCCCCTGCTTCCAAACTTATGTCGGATGCTCAGAAAGCATGGCGTATCGAAGAAGAGGAACAAGAATCGACTGCTATGGATCTCTCGCCTCGGCTGGGTCTCCCCACGGTTGGTCCTGCTTTAGGAGGCCATGATTCTTCTGCTCATTCATTGCACGGAGAAGAGCATGGAGATGAATCTTTTGCAGGGGGCGCAGAGTTTGTCCCCGACGACACGCTTCATGATACTGCCTCTACTGCCTCTCATGTTGCAGAAGACATACCTCATGTCCAAGAACCTCCAGAGATTGCCTAGCAAGACTTAATAACAGACAAGTCTCCTTCCACTTCTGTGTTATTGCCAATTGTAGGTGACTCACAGCCTAGTCCTACTACTAGAATCATAGCAAAGCCTACTGTCACTGAAGATGTGCCAACATTCCCTCTCGTAAGCGAAGAGGAACCTATGGATCATAGTGATGGTGCAGATGCCACGGATGATGATGGTGACCGAAGTGGGAATGAAGGGAATAATGACAATCTGGGTGATGACAGCGATGATCCCGATGACTGGGATATTCCACCACCATCCTTCTCCGACAAAGTGTCACCCTACATTCCCCTACCTCTTGCGGGTAAGTATCGTTCGTTTCGGTTCAACTAATTTTTAATTTGCATTTAAACAATTTTCTCATGCAGATCCTATGATACATGAGGCGAGTACTGTCACTCCTCCTTCATCGCAACAACTTATGCTATTACCGGCTGAGGTGTCAGAGCCACCTCGTTTGGAGACCTCAACGACGACTCTCCCACCGACGACTTTATTGACAATTTCTTTAGCTTCTACGGAGGTTGTAGATGCGCCAAGGTCGTCTCAAATGGGAGAACTGATGGCTTTGCAATTGAGCCCATCTCAGCTGGATATTGGCACTCCTTCCCAAGCCACTACACCGAAATCACATGCCGATCTTTTACTTGACTTTGCGTCTTCAGAAGTTTCTGTACCGTCTCCTATCGTCGCTTCGAGTCCCACGGACGTGCCGGATTTTCTCAAAATTTCTCTTGGCTATTTGGAAAGTCTTACCAAGAAAGTGATTGAGGTTGTGCTGGCAGGGCGAGATACTTTTGATACCTACAAGCCTATGCTCACAAATGGTTTGAACAACCTCAAGTTCGTAGGCGAGGTCGATGTTGTTCAGCATTGCGCGGAAGCCATCTCACGCCTAGAGGGACAGCTAAGGGTCTTGGAGGCCCTAGGTCGTGCTGACATCCAAGCACAAATTGCATCTTCTTTTGAGAATATTCGAGCCGAAGAACTCAGTAAGTATGAAATCGCTCGACATCATATAGCAGAGACGG